TATTGTTTAGACATGTTTTTGATATTTATTTTGGATAAATTGGTATGTTAATAGGCAACTTTTTTTTCTTTAGAATATACAAAATTAGTCTTAGATTAATCGACTTGAAAAGTAATCGATATGTACAGCCCTAAACTGAATATCTTGCGATTTGGTGCAAGCAAATTTACATTTTGATCAGTATTTTTCACTTTATTCTCACATTTTATATTTCAAACTTTCATTTCATTAATTGAGACGGTCATGATTTTAGAAAGGTTGTCTTTGAAAATAGATGTATCCCAATATTTGAATTCTTCCGCTTAAGGTTCTTTTGAGACAAGCGTTCACCACCTGTGTGAAAATGTTCTCTCTCTCTCTCTCTCCACCCCTCACTTGCCCTTTCATCTTTCTAATCTCAATGTATGATGCAGTTATGATTATATATATATATATTTTGCTGGCAGACATAAAAACACATCACAAGCCACTGTTTTCAAATGCAGAAATGAGATCATCTTCTGATGAATGTCATCAACTTTCCTCCAAGAGAGTGATCATGAATTCTGAAAGCTTCCAATAGGACTGTGATAATCTCATTTTACAGCCATAACGATTTGTCTTGAGCAGCAAACTGTACATTTATACACAGTGTTTGGAAGGGAAAGAATTGTAAGTCTATGTTTGTGTTCAAGTTTTAATCCACAAGAAGGTTTGACTCCACAGTTAGTCTATTTTTCCTAAAAAAAATGTCTCATTTAAAAATGAAAAAATCTGGTATAAAATTTGGTACGGTATGGGGGAAGCAATATAATTTCAAGTATGGACATATATCCATTAGAAGAAGACAGAAAGACTAATGATCTGCAACCCCAAACAAAAGTGGGATTGCACCATAATCCAGTAGTTTCCGATTCTTTCTTAAAACAATGCTACTGTATATTTCCACCTCCTCTCCCTTCAACGTGCATCGTTTTCTTTGCTTGCACTAACAATGCAGACACACTGAATGGCAACTGCGACAACACATACTCACATGCAGAACATGCACATATTATAATGTGTATGTCTAACTTTTGTTTTGGAGATTCCTTGTGGTTTTCATGTTCTTGCTTTTTTTTTTTTGATTGCCTAAGGAAACCCTTCAGTAATCCCAGTGTACTTGTACTAGTGTGCCTGTGCAAATTGCAAATAACGTCTCCACACCTATTTATCTGCAAATTACCATTACAACAAATTCTATATTACGACATTATCAAACGTTGACACACACAGAGCTAGGGTCGACAAGGCCTTATAACTCAGCTGTTTTCTGATGACTTTTACCAGCGTTCTTTGAAGAAAGTTTCATGTCCCACAATGCCACACGCACTGGTTCTTCCTCTATTTTGGTGTCAGCAATGAAATCCAACCAAAACTAACAGTCCACAGTAAAACTGTTTGCACCGACTTGGTGATTGAGAGTATTGATAATAGTACCCATCAGTTTGACCTGTCAGCATCTGTCTTTCAAGTCCAGATAGCGGTGCTGCTGGCCAGCTAAAGTAACGGCAGCCTGAGCCTGTGGCTTCCTCTGACACATTTCCTCACCAGTGGGTTCATGCACGTATGTTTTCTCTGACAGCATAAAATGTCAAGTCCATTGCACATATGTATTGTTGAGTGACTTTAGCTTTCTAACATGTGGCTCCCAAGTCTGACAATTGACTGAGCTGTGGTCAACTCTTTAGAGGAGGAGAAAAGAAAACTAGCCAAGTTTTCCCTGTTTACCTTATACAGCGTGACTTCTGCACAGAGCACCCTGGCAAATGTAGCGATAGCTGCAAATAGGGATGAAACGATTACCGGTTTAGCGGTAAGCCATGGTAAAATTCCCGATGGTTATTATTACCGTACATATTTAAATTACCATGAAAACCGGGTACGGTTAACCGCGCTATTATAATCTCACGGCAAACACTGTCCAGCGTCTCCCAGAAGCAGGCGCGCATGCGCAGAATGCAATGTGGGTTTGTTTGGGTCAATGACAACACGACGGAGATTTTTCAGCCAGTCTAAAGTCCGGTCGTATTTTAGTTTTTATGACAGTGCTGAGGGAAACTTGATAGAAGAAAATAACCTCATAGTGAACGCAGGGTGAGTTAACTTTTAGCTTTGGTTTGTCTCTCTGACTTGCTAACAGCGTGTAAACTGAAGCTCTCAGTGTTGATGCTCTTGTAAAAACGCTACACATTGTTCTATTGCTGTGTGCGTTGTGTGTCGGCAGAGTCTATTCGTCCACTGCACGTGATAACATGTTACGCAGTTTAGTCAACCAACCAGCATATCTAGAAATGCTGCAGACTCCTCTGTATTTATTTCAGGTTTTGGGCTCATTACAGTTACTATCACTGTCTTCTAAAGACTTATTTGTTTTCATGTAATTGTCCACAGGATCATGGTATTACCTATATAATATAAAAAATAAAATCTTGATAATGCATACTTAGATTTTCATTTGTTTACAAAAGTTATTTGCAGTTATTTTTTATGCAAACAAAATGGCAATTGTATTTGTAGTTTTCAGTATAAAACTTGTTGAAATGGTTTCAGTGTGTGTATCAGTACATTTTAATATTTTTTGGCACATTTTTACAATACCAATAATACTGATAACCGTGATAATTTTGGTCACTATAATCGTGATATGAAATTTTCATACCGTTTCATCCCTAGGTGCAAAGTGAGTAAAGTGTTCCTTTGAGCAAATCTCTCTGCTCCTGTTATATTATAGCTAATAAAGGACTGATAACTGAATACCAGAGCAAGTCACAACAGAGAAATAATGTAAAATAGGATTGTTAAAGGTGAGGCTGCTGCAGGTTGGAACCAAAGGCGACAGATGGCTCTGTGCAGTTTCAATTCACTTCATAAGCTGTGAGCAAACATCAAAGAAGCACATGAGGTAATGTGAAAATGCCTATGTCAGATGTTTTGCTGATTTTTTTTCAGGCCCCAATTTTTAGAACAAACTACAATTACTGCCTCGTGATTGTTTGCCTTCGCCAACCAGCCAAGTCGCACTTGACATACATTTCTGTCCAAACTCATAATATATGTAATGAGTTATCCAATAAGACGTCTGTGTGAAATTTTGTCATAATTAGCGTATGAATTCTAGAGTGATGGCCAAATATGTGTTTTGTGAGGTCACAGTGACCTTGACCTTTGACCACCAAAATATAAGTTCACTCGAGTCCAAGGCGACGTTTGTGCCAAAGAAACTCCCTCAAGGCATTCTCGAGATATCGCGTTCACAAGAATAAAACGGACGGACAACCCGAAAACATAACGGTCGACAGAAAGACAACAAAAGAAAGTTACAAGGTGATGCTGTCATTTGATACCATGGCACCATTATCTTTTTTACAATTTCATTTCCATTTTTTGTGTGCTATTGTAGTGCAGAGCAAAAACAATCCACAGCAGTTCCTCTCTCACATCTTTTTGGAGATTGTGCATATACAAACAAGTGTGAGTCTGTTTGAGTGTGTATGTGTGTGTGTGTCAGGTGAAGTACAGCCAACTGACAGTGTCTAGAGAGAACCAGTCTGCACAGAACAGCCATACCTTTACACTACTTAACCACGCCTCATCACTCTCACCCACACATGCACGCACACACAAAGTTAGATGAAGACATTTACTCTTCATCTACTCAGTATTCCCTTCTTTCCTTGCCTTCAAGCTCAATCACAGGCACAGAACATTAACACAAAGATGATGCGGTACGTGCCACAGTTAAATGCCTGAAACACAGTCTGCTATTCAAGTAATCCATTCATTCACCCATGCATTCTTTATGGTTCCATTATACTGTTGCATATTCTCTTCTGAGATAAATAACAGGATTTACTATCACTGATTTGTTACTACAAGAGAATTTTATCGGATCAGTCAGACAGGTAACGGGAACACTAAGCAGCCTCAAAATATAAGTCTTTTAAACATCAATTAAAATGACAAGACGTAATATGACAAACTGTTCATCTCCTTTATCCAAAGTGCATATTCGCAGAACATATCTTTTGGCACCAGTGGGACTGGAAGTCCTGGCACTCCTGGCTGCCGCCGATGATGAAGACGAGTGGAGCTGACACTGAGCAGATATTTGGCTTGTCAGGTGTGTTCGTTCCACACCAGGGCACACAGAGTCACACTCATTTACCGCTTAGTAGACCAATCATCAGAAACCAGAACTGATAACCCAAGAGGTGCATTTTAGATGTCAGATCTACATCTGGGATGGTTATAATACAGATAAAAGAGAGATGTGTTTATTTACTACAGAAAAGAGCTATAACAATTAGTCGACTGAATATTAATCTGCAACAATTTTGATAATCGATTTGCTGTTTAAGACGTTTAATCAAACAAAAATGTCAAATAATCAAACAAAAATGTCAAATATGTCTGGTTTTTTGTCTTACATATCATTCTAAACATAATAGGCTATTTGAGTTGTGGATAGCTGGATGGAAGAAACTATAATACATTTGAATACATCACCTTAAGCTTTTAAACAATTACTGAGTTAATTCAACAAACTAGCCTACAGGATAATCAATAATGAAAAAAACATTTGTTGTGTAGGTGCACAGAGCTTTTTGTATATAAATATATATAAAAGTGTGTATTTTGTATTGTAAGTGCTGTGTGTAGTGAATCTGTTGGGGGTGGTAGTGTTGCCTTGACTACGGAGTGTGAAGGTATGATCTCCAACAGCAATTGGTTTTTATGGATGTAGCGCACGCGCGCGCGCGCACACACACACACACACACACACAGCCTCTGCGACAGTAATGCATGTAACAAAATGAAAACACCTGAATCGTGACGGGGTTACGAAACAGCCTCACAGCACATAGCGGTGTCGGGGGGTAAAAAACATGGGATTGAAAAGATAAAAAGCGTCAGGCGCTGCTAAAACATTAAACACGGAAGGACGGACAGTCAGCCAGCGCTCGGTTTGAAGTACTCACGCTCTTCTTCCGCAGGTGCAGCCCGTGCTTGAGTAGCCCTGGCAGATCCCGGATTTTGTGTTTGAGCTGAGCCTGGTCCCGTGCGCTCCGGTTCCAACGCAAGCCCGCGAGCAAGCCGTCCTCTGCGGGCTCAGAGTCCTCCATGGTTCCTTTCCTTTCTCCTGTCAGTCCTCGAGCTGCAGCCTGTCTCCGCTCCGGGTGTCTACTGTATCCTCACGAGGCGCACCGCCGCCCGCTCCCGTTCGCCATTTCCCCCCCCTGCCTCGCGCTCACACTCAGCGACCTGCATCTGCAGCCAAACCGCGCGCAGCTACGACCTACTGAATGGATTCCGCAGCACGCGACGCTGCTGCTCCACCCAATGGCTCGCGCGTCCTACTCCTCAGTACTAGTAGGTTGGTTTGTGTTTGTGCGTGGAGGAGGAGGAGAGGGGGGTGTCACAGGTGCATAGAAACATTGCATCTGAGCAGTCTGATAAAGTAAAGGAGCGAGGAAAATTTAAAGCCATCATATTTTAACTGTTGCACCGGTGCAGCTGACATTACAGTATCATTTTAGGCATATGTTGTAAATGTAATCCAAAAGTCAGGGGGAGGGGGAAAGGAAGCAGAAGGCACTCTGTGGGGCTACGTCACCACATTACCTGGCTCAAATTTCCATAGGTAAACAAAGAGCAGCCACACAGTGTACATCTCTTTGTGGGAGGAAGTAGGACTGCGTGAGACATGGCAGCTAATTTTTCAGGTATGGAGCTTTTGTCTGTGAACATGCGGGAATGAAGCCTGGAGCTTGGCATTCCGGTTTAACCTGAGGCGGAAAGCAGGTGAGCTGAAACATGAGAGGGTCACAACCCCCTCCATGCTGCAGGTTGTTGAAGGTGAGACACCATGTCTCTTAAGTGCTTCACCTACCCTATACATTTTCATAATGCTAATAGTCACCATCAGATGGTACTTCTAAAGTCTTCCCTCTTCCTAGATGTGTTTGCATAACATGCTGGTTAGATTGAAGTTAAACTCGCCCCAGCGTGTGCCTCCTATTAACGAGAGCCTGATGGAAAAATCAGCAGGGCAATATCATCACAGATATTTGGCACCTGGTGCGCAAGAGGGAGCAGTGAGTTGGAAAGTGATGATATCTAAGGGGAAGCCTGTTCTCATGCCTCTGATAGGCTGCACCACTTGTGGATTTTAAAACTTATTTGCAGTTAAAGTCTTAATTAATGAACATAATGAAGGACTCAGAATGAATCCCTGATTATGCCGTTACGTTTGTCCAGCAGAGAGGACCGATGGGGGGGGGGGGACTTTTACTCCTGGAACAGTTTCCAAAGAGTTCATGAATAGAATAGTTGAGCTTGAATGCACCACAAATCCAGCTACTGCCCATGATGGGAAGTTGTGACATTGGTCCCTCGAACTAATCATGGGGGTAAGCAAGAGTTCGAACACTGAAGCCGACCAAAGGCAGGGTTGTGACCTTTTGGGCATTTTTGGGCCTACATGGAACCCTCCATGCAGACCCAAAAATAACGTCACAAACCTGCAACATCGCACATGTCTCACCTGAGAGATGTAACCACATTGTGAGAAGTTCCCGGGGAATCTACAAAATCTATTCGGCCATCAGTGACACTATGTTGGAGTTTGGCTAGTGAGCCTTGTAGGTGGACTAATTAAACAGAGTCACAATCCAAGACAGACAAACACACTGAGCCAGAAGTCTTTTTGTTGGTGCAGTATGGTGTAGCCATGCAGCTACCAGAACTACAGTGTTTCTGCCGTTGCTCTACATCATTAAATTGCTCTGCGTCATATACTGCGCAATCATGCGCAGTAGACCCTGTTGCCAATAGGAAGTAGCCATGTAGTAGTACTAAATAGGACTAAAATGGGCTTCACTGTTCTGTATTTAAACCCGCGGAGTGGCTTCGTCCATCAATTATCCTGTCTATGGAACAGGTCCCTAAAGTAGAGTTTCTGTGTCAGTGTTGTCATCTCTAGGGGCTACAGGTATGCTGGAAGCTGCAGTGATGTAGCTCTCTGATGCATCTGACGCAGAAAACTATCACTATCGATGTACACACAATCGTGTTGAAGTCATAGAAATCCCGCTTTCTGTGTCAGGCTGAGCTCAAACGCACATAAAACAAAGTCAGTGGTCAGCAAAGCAGAGAGGCTGCTGTGGAGTGAAGTCAAGCAGGTGAAATTAAGATAATTCCAAGATTAATCAAGTTGATGACAACTACGCTCGTTACTGTAAGTGCAAAAAACCTTCACGAAAAAAGCCAATACCTAATCAACACACTAGCGTATAGTATTTATAGTATACTGCTGCTGTAAATTGCTGCTCTAGAACCACATTAAGTTATCGTTAAAATAATAAAATATTATATTTCAAACCTGTTCTGAATGTATAATTTTTTTTAAATAATGTTTTTAAAGAGCACTTTTAGTTATGAAAAAGAACCAATAAGATTACTGATAAAGAACCAAAACGATTAAAGTTAGTAGTATTGCAATAATCCTTATGATGCCAATCCCATAACATGAGTTTAACACTACAGTTTATCAAAAAACACACGTTTTATTGGGGACCCACTTAATTTCCCTGGGACTCCCTCAAATGACCACCTGTGGGTCCCGGGGACTCACTACATTGAAAACCTATTAACATCACCGAAGCTGTCGAGAAAGTCATCAAACCGATGGTGGTGGTTTGCTTTCTAATTTCCTCAAACATTGGTGAGGTCTTTCACATATCTATTCAGTTAATGTAATGCTAATCTTGATTATTTACCATTTGTGTGTTTATTGTTGTTGGAGAGGAGAGGAGAGCAGGAGAAGAGAGGAGGAAACATGAGAACAATAGTAGAACCTGTTGAACAAGCAGTGTCATCAAGTCTGTCGTCAAGAAAATCAAGGGGAAATTATCAGTAGATTTTGACAATCTCTGTAATCTTAAGTAATTTTAGTAAGAGATTGTATGTAGAATGTTTATAAAAAATCTGTGAATGTAAAAACATCTTTACTGATTATCCTAGTATTCCAGTTAAGATGGGTGCACTTCCCCGGCATTATAATAAGAAGCTTTTATTCTTAAGAGAAATTCATTGTATGGCTTGAAAAAGAACTCAGCCCTCTTGGGAAGCTGGTGAAAGTGCATTCAGTTTGATTAAATATTTCAAGTGAATGTGATCTGAAAGAGAATTAATTTGAATTCAGTAGATCCAAGAGGATCAGAGCCTGATACCCCAGAAGACATAAATCTAAATAGAGTTCAGCTTGAGTGCAGTGGGTTCAGTTGTATAACTCAGATGTCGAGTCTGCTTTCCTGATAGGACTTGTAATCTGGGATAATTGGCCCCTTTCAGGGACTCAGATTATACCAACACCATCGCTGTCAGAGGTAATAGGCCAGCATACATACTGCTTGACAGCTGAATAACACACGCGCACAAGGAAAGACTTGTTTGGATCCAAAGCTAGCTGTAACATTTCATCTATTAACATGTTAAACTACAGTTTGGTGTGGAATCCAGACTCAGATGGTAAGTAACAGTGATGTGCTCATAATACTTAACACAGACATGCAATTATGACTTCTTTTTTCCACAGTCTCCCTTGCTCTCCATACTTGGGTTGTCAGTGTCACCTTTCCTATGGCAATACTGACATTACACACTAACAAAATCTGAAAGTCCATTCAGGATAAAGATAAAGATGCACCAACTGATGAAAAACTGATTTAAATGAGGGTGACACAATGCTTACCGAGACTAACGGTAGTGTAGTCACGACAGTAGTCGACGACAGCGAGAACATGCAGACATAAGCATGGTAAGTTTTTGTCTACTTTGTTTTAAAATCCTTCCTGTTAAGTAGGGATGGGGATCGAGACCCGAAAATCAATAAGGTTCGAGCTTATCGATACTGCTATCGTGATTTACTGTTCCTATGATGTAACGTACATGTCTCGAGCGTTAATTCAGTTTTATTTTGCAACGAAATGGATAAGAAAATCAAAAGGCTGCAGTCTCTTCCTGCTCTCTGTCGGCTGCACACACACACACACACACACACACACACACAGGCAGCAGAGCGAGAGGCTGCAAGTAAAAAGACATTAGTTTATCAATACACCTGTCTGTAAGGTAACGTTAAACATGTAGAAATGGTTAATTTAATCATCTCTGTCCTCAGTATCTCATCCTGTATGTTTTATACAAAAACAGCAAACGCTAGCTTGGCATTAACCAAATGTTAAAAACAAGCTACATAGAAAGCTCTCTGTCTGGAGCACAGACTGGTCTGTAGTCTTAAAAACTCAGCTGCTGGCTGAGACAAACCAGCCGCTCCTCCTCCTACCTGGTAACTTTACCTGCAACCAGTGAGAGAGGAAGAGGGACTGATACAGACTGATGTTCGTCACTCACTACTTGTGATGTCTGATAAAGTTATTGATTTACTTTGCTGTTGTAAACATTAATGTTGCTGCTCTAGAAACAACATTTAGCTGTATTTAAAATATTAAATTAATAACAACAACCAGGCTGTTAATATGTACACTTCAATATATGTTTATTTATCTCAAGTGATATGTCATGTCAATATATAACATTATTGCACATTGAATATTTTCCTCATACCATGCAGGCCTACCTTATGTTCGTTGGGTCTGGTCTTACCAAATAACCATCACTAAATAATAGTAAAGTATCGATAGTGGTATCAATAAAGAATCAGATCGTTAAGCAGTCTCAATAAGGGTATCAATATCAATAAAAATTAACGATACTCATCCCTAATGTTAAGAATGCGCAGCAGAGGCTAAGACAAAAAAATGCTTGTGGAACAGCCAGAACTGCTTTAACTGTTTTAAAAATTGTTTGTTCATTTAGGACCCCATCACTCATAGTAAGAAGCTGATTGATTTTGTAGTATTGATTTCATTCACGATTTAATACAGTTAGGTTGACGTCTGTATATTAAGGTTGTACACAAGCATGTAGTCCAAAAAAATGTAAATCAGCCTTGACGTCAGTTTGTTAAACTATTTCTCTGTGGAAATAACAAAGAATGCGTGTTTTGAATGGAAGGCTTTCTTATATTTGTGTTTGAGAGAAATTGGCCTTGTGTGCCATAATCAACAAAACAAGTGCTAAAGGAAAGCTAAGCACAATTACTGGGAACCCAAGGGATCATCGTTCAGATAGCTGCCCTCTGAGATTTGGTGGACAGCGCCAAAGGAAACTACAATCAGCTGTGAGGACGAGATATTACTGTTGAGGGTAATACTGCCAAAGATGCCACTGAAGATTTTGCACGCACTAAAATAAACAAAGCCATTGGACAAGAC